AATTGTAGATGATGAACTACCTGAATTTGAATTTGGTGGGCGCACTACTCACCCAGCAGATGATTCATTGGCAAAATGGAATTTGTTGGAATTATTCAATAATTCATTAGATTCGCCTATTTCTTTTGTCCTCCAATAAATTCAATTAAATGTAATGAAGTTTATATTGGCATTAAAAATCGTAGGAGTTTTGAAAATTTTAGCAGTTAAATAAAATAAAGTGCTTTAACTTGACTTCAATTGATTTGGAAATAATTTATGCGCAGTACCTTAAATAATTGAAAAACAATTAGCGTACAAATTTATATTACGCACTATATAAATTATTACTTATTAGTTGTACTTACGTATTTTAGTATGCGCAGAAAATCATCGGCACTGTGTAGATTTTTTTATTATACGTGATTTCTAAATATGGATTCAGACTTGTTATACGTACGTACGTACGTACGTACGACCTGCGGTCTGATAAAAAAGTTAATTTGCGATTTTTCATAGGCATATTTGTATTAAATAACTAATCACATTTTTAATAGATAATTCAAATGACCATAACAGGTCACTGGGTTTTTGAAATGATCCAATGACTGGTCACTAGTCATTTGAGTCATTTGGGTCATTTCAAGTCATTTACCATCACTGTTTGTCACAGCATTTGTAGTTAGGGTTATATTACACAAAATTACATTTTTCATTATTCATTACATGGAATTTACATTGTAACTTACGAAACTGTAATGTAACTTTACAATATATAGCGCATTGTCGCATGATAATTGCACTAGCATTACAAAGTTTTGCTGCCACTAATAGATATCCATCATTGTGTTCGGAACTTTAATTTTATGTTATCTTTACAAAAATTTTGGCCCAAATTATTCACATGAACAAAATTACATGTAATTTTGATTTCAGAACCTTACACAAACTTACGTAAAATTACGTAAAATTGCGGTAATTTTCCAATCTTATTTGTAGTTGCACTTATGCGTATAACTTTGCTTTGAATATTGGAATATAAAGATTTTAAATTCTGAATTGGTTTTTTTGAAAAAATTGGTTTGATTGATGTTTATTGGTTACCGTTACCACCTGTTCCATAATCTAGTGTTCTCAAATGACTTTTAAATGGTCAAATTACAAAATATAACTAATAATATCGTAGATTATTAGCCAGCATAAAAACTTTATAAAATAAATTTATTTGGTATTTGAGCAAATGATTTTTAATACTTTAAAATGCAAATGGCA